AACTGTGGTAAATTAAAAAAAAAAAAAAAAAAAAGCCCTGAGCCCCATCCAATCAATAATAGGCAGATGGAAAGTGACTCAATCCCGCCATCTAAATTTCACCGGAAAGCCCAAGTTGATTTTATGCAAACGCAAGCATGCTGATGTTCAAGAAGCTGCACTTGACCTACATAGCTTCCCTTTCCAATAAAAAGAAGATCACAGGGAGCTTGAAGCCAGGGGACAGGCTCCTACTGCGAAGAAAAAGAACGAAAGCAGGGTGGGGGCCTGTGGAGGGGCGTGGATCAAAAAGCGAGACATCGCGAGCTGGGCCAGCATCCCAGACAGACGGCTCAATTTGCTTCAGACGAGAGGCGTACAGCAGGGGCTGGATGCAATATGTGGACCAACATAAATTCTGGAAAATGTACGGGAAGAGCTTATGTTCTTCTTTAGTAAAGCCATAATATGTGGAACATTCTTTTTAAGCCTCATTAAAAAAAAAAAAAGTTAAAAAAAAATAAAAAAGGTTGGTTTTGCTGGAAAAACCCAACCCAACCCAAAGCCCTCAGCTGAGGCAACGTTCAGTGGCTGCTTCAACGCAGAGGCCGCAATGAACAAAAATTCCACACAAATTATACTGGTCAAAGGGAGCCCTTGATGCTTTTGTAATTACTTGTGCAGTCCAGCCCACAAAAGAAAAGGATTGGGGGGGGGGGAACTTGACCAAGAGGACAAGTGAGTCAACAGGGAGAGAAAGTGTGACAATGAGAGAACTATGTTTTCGTATCGCACTGCCTGTTTAACACATGAGGTCTAAATGTGTAAATTATGGCAACCTCGCACCAATCTCTTCCATTGTAAAGTTCCGATTTGTAGCCGAGAATTGTTGCAAGGTGATCAAACTGGATTGAAGCACAACGCTTTCCATGTGAGACCATTCCAAAATAGATTCAGAAACAAGTGGAAGGGCTGCCTTTACCGCATTCCCCTGCTTGTAAGAAACTGGCATTGGAAAGCGGCGGATTACAGCATGCCAGGTCAAAGAAACGCGAAAGCGGGTCAGCGTCTGAGAGGCTGAGACGCCCGGTAGAGTGATGTAACTTTATTAAAGCCCTCTCCAAATTGTATGTTGCTTGTGTTTAAAAAAAAAATAAATAAAAATGGCCATTTGAGATGGCAACGCAGTGATGTAGAGACTGAGGGGTCACGACTAAACTTCAACCCGTATTCCCATGCTTACATCGCCCTTCCTCACCATGAAACGCTGAGCTCAAAGACAGATCTGAGTGACAGAGAACGAAAAAAATGCTTGACACGCAGGCTGATTGAGAGACGCACCTGTCTGATAATCATCAACTCCTGTAACAACCCATCAATTGCAATTTATTGTCGTCTAGACATAATATGGAGCCAATTGCTCACATGCTTCTCGCCAGACAAGAAGCAGACTTTGCGATCGTCTAATTATGATGCATTATCAGTCAGAGGTTTCAAGATGCTGCCGACGATCAAGATGCTGCCGTCGTCGGCCACTATCTGCGAGAGCTCTTCTCTGTTTTTTTTTTTTTTATTGTTTTTGTCTTTTGTTTTGTTATATGGAGTTTGTTGTCCTTCATTTGCGCCTGTAATGGGCAGCATTTTTGACAGCCCTTTTTGTTCACCTGAGATGTCGGCACTGTTGGACAGTCTAGTCTGCATTGGCGCGGCTGGATAAATGGCTGCTCCGAGCCGAGGATGAGGAGAGAGGAGCGTCGGCGCGGAGCGCGGATGCGTATTTGGCGCTTGGAATCGAAGCGGATTTACAGGTGAACCAATTTCTTTTTTTTTCTTTCCATCAACGGACGCGACGGCTTCTTGTTTACTTTCAAACTTAGCTCGTAGCCGACGTGTGGGGCGTCAAGCCCGCTTTGAGCATGACGTCTCCGATCCACTGGTGAAAGGGCATTTTGACTCTCTCCTCTTTCATCTACAACAGCTTCAAACAACAAGGCGTATGCAGGAACAGCGGTTACGATTACATGACTGTCCATGCTGTATATTAGGTGTCGTGTTCGATTATTTTGTTATCTTGTCTTCAACTGTTCCGTCAAGCGCTTTGTTACAGCTGCGGCCGTTGTGAAAGAGCTCTCTAAATAAAGATGTATTGTGTTGTATTGTCATGCATATCTCAGTGTTCGCTCTTCAGCACGGCTTCTTCTGCCGTCTTTCTGCCTGAATGCTCTCTGCTCGCTGAAAGAAGAACCGTGCTTTAATGAGATTGCGCAGCCAGCTTTTGTAGGGCCCCGAGCCAAAAAAAATAAATAAAAAATGCTACGTGTGGCTGGTGAGGACACACCTTTCTACACTCTGCGGCAAAGGGCAAGTCAAGTGTGGGAAGTGAAGATTTGAAATTTGTCGGCACAACCCTGAGCAACCGGAGGACGTGTTGCGCAGGGATGATCTAAGAGCGACAAGCGTAACTCCCTGTGTGGCACCCTGCTTTAAACTTGGAGCAAATGAAACTTTAATAACTACCTATAAGAGGATTATATCGATTATTTTTAATAGCTGTTCCAGCTGCAGGGAAATGCTGTTTGTATTGGGCTGAACAATTAATCGAATTGAAAAACAAGTTGAACAACATTGATATGGTGTAGAATGCAGTTTTCAAATTGCAAAGGCTGCACTTGGGAGAGAGAGAAAAAAAAAACGGTTGTCAGTAGGCGTTATTATTTATATTATGATGTATATTTTATATATTTAATGATGTCGGGTCTAGATTTAGATTTGTTTGCATTATTGTTATCATCCAATTTATGACTTAAATTTACACCACATTTGTTTGGTGGAATTTTGTGACATTTTTTGTGAGAGATTGCGAGTCAAAATGTTTCATACGTTAAGGACTGACATTTAAGTAGACAAACTGTCTTTCATACTAATTCATGGTTAATTTGCTTTTATATCTACCGAAAACAACAAAATATTTTTATATGTTAATTTATTGCTTGCATTTGGGGAGGGGGGGGAGACATGGGAAGGCGACCTTCAAAAACACAATTGCATATTAAATTGCAATTGCAATATTGAGGGTGGGGAAAAAAAAAATTCAAAATCCTTCAGCCCTTCGGTGTATTTCAACGACAGGGATAATTTCTTACTTGTTGCCCTTTCCTATTGTTTACATTTTAGGCTATCATACCTTCTTGCCCAGGGTGCCCGTCTTGGAGAGGCAGGACTTTCCGAGGGAAAGGTAGCCACCGATGACCTCAATCTCCTCCACAGCAGGGTAGCGTTTCTTGAGCAGGGAGCCCAGCTGAGTGAACGGGGCCTGAGGGGGCGTGGACCCCGGTGACACGTCGCTTGAGGGATCCTGCTGGGGTTCGGGGGAACTGGCCTTGCCCTCGGCCTCCGCCCGACGTTTAGGCACCACAGTAAAGGTGTTACCCTTCCTTCTTGACGTCCTGGGGCTGTGCGCAGAGGCCCGATGTGGAGATTCCGCATCGATATCGTCAATGTTTGTGACGGGGAGATATTCTGCAGGAGGAGCGATGTCAGTCGGGGACGCGGGCGAAGGTTCCGGTGAGAGGGCACGGGGAGAGAAAGTGGGTGATGATGGGACGGCTGGAGAAGAGGGAGGTGAAGCCAAGGCAGGTGGAGAAAGGGTGGTTGGAGACGGAGACTGATTCTGTGAGGGCACAGGCGACGTAGGAGATGTGGCAACGGAAGCAAACGGGTAGACTGGCCGCACCACTTCCTTTCCCTTTTTTGCGTCCTTCAGTTTTTGGAGCATTAGAGCGGGTGCGGATGTGTGAGAAGACGGCAATCCTGACACGGGCCGCTCTGCCACTTTGTGAGAAGGGGGCGATTCAGCTGCAATGGGCGGCGCCGTTTGGCCACTTTCAAGTGAGGCTGCAAGATGCCGCTTGGGAATCACCATGAAGGAGTTTTTGGACTGGAGGCGCAGATTTGCCAGGGCCCGTGCCTGAGTGTCTCGGTCGGGTATTTGGGCGAGATCAGGCTTTGGGGACGGACGGATCTCAAAGTCAGGCGATGTGTGCACCACTTTAGATGAAAGGGAGTAATGGCTCTGCGTTGATGATGGCACCTTGGAGTTGAGGGACACCTCCGGGGTCACCTCGCGCGCCTTGTCTGGTTCATCTCTCGGCGTGACGGATGTCGCGCGTTCGCCATTCTCTTCAAGCCGCTGGCGGAAGGAGAACACCTGATTCGAGGATTCAACGTTGTGCTGCGGGCTGCCCGTCTCAAGTACGGGAGAATGCGGTTTTGCTTTGAGAGAACTCTGGAGGACGGGCGATGATGCCTGCCTGCTGCCCAGGGTTTTGACAGAGTCCGTTTTGGGCTTTGGCATCAGATCCAGCTGTGGCTTGACCCGGGTCCTCTGCCTTCTGCCTGCACTTCCATCGAGGTCCAACAGGTTCTCTGTGCTGTGAGACTTTTTCTGCAGCTTCCCGTAGTTGGAGTCAAACTTCTGCAGGATTCGGCTCACCATCCCTTGACCCTCACCCGTCTCGTATGATGGGTCTCGGTGGTTTGGGTGACCGAGGGTGCTCAAATTCTCCTCGCTCTTACTCAACGTGGTGTCATAAATGACCACTTCCTTGGCTCTTATCTCAGTAACAGCATTCCCTCTCCTGTCCAAGAGATCATTCACTGAGCTATAACCGTTTTGTTGCCAAATGGGACTTTTATCTTCTTCGCCGTCATGAGCGTAATCAGGATCCGACTCGATGATGAGAATATTCTCTGCTCTGATAGTCCGTATGCCAGGAACGTTACCGTAAAGCTCCAAAATGTGCTGGATCGGACGAGTGGCGTTTTCCCGGTCCTGGCGCTTCCGCCGCTCCTTCTCCAGCTTGATGAACGGGTTCTCCTCCAGCGGGCCCAGACTCTCCTGGAGTACCAAGCTCTCCTGTCCGTCAACGTGACTTCTTGCCGTGCCCTCCGCGGCCACCGGTCTCGAGTCTTTGTTGTTGGCGAAGTGCTGACTGGCCGCCGCGATGGAATAGTTCCGCCCGACGTGTGCGTCGTCTCGGTTAGGCACGCCACCGGTGCCGCCGTTAATCGTTTGCTCCCCGTTACTGCGTTTCGGACTCCCACCTGCGCCATTCTCCGCGGTAGCGGCTGCCCCAGACGCCCCGCTCTTCGCCTTCCTCCTCTCCAAGATCTCTCGCTTCCAGGCCGGCATCCTCGGGTTCTCTTGTCCGGTCTCCTTGCGGGCGTACCTTGCCTCTCCTCCGCCAGACATTGCGGGGGTTACGCGAGAGAAGGGGGGTGTCGAGGAGAGAGGAAGGCTTCAATGCGGTCTTGCCGCGGCGGCCCGGTGCGGCTGCGTAAAACTGCGTCCGAGTGTACCTGCAGTAGCGCTCACAGTGCAGTCCCACACATCTCTCCACCCTCTTTTTCTTTTCTCTAATCTCGCCGCTTCCGTAGCTCTGTTGGGTTTCCACAGCCCCAAAACACCCGCCCCGCCTCTCCGCAGCACGGCGAACGCGACTTCCAGGTTGTTAGTCTTTTCCTGATTGGCTGCTAGGTCCTGCAGACACACCCATTTCGTCACTGTGGCGCAAACCACTCCCGTTTCTATTGTTAACTGGGCCAACGCCACCTGTCAATCAAACGGTGTGGCGTTCAAATTCACCTGACCTCTCCCAGTGAAAATCATTAAACGCGTTCCGAAGTGCATTTTTTTAAATCACATTTACGATAGCAAAGCACGTGCGGTGTGTTGCTCTCGTTGTTTTTGTCCTCGGATATTAATATTCCTTTAGAAAGTACATGGAAACACCGAAGGCGCGTGATATAAACAAAGTGATTCGCGAATTGGAGAATCCAGATCTGGGTGGAGGTACTCCTTCATTGGGCTTTTGTCACCGATGCCACCTGTCGATAATCTGGTTGAGGAAAACACGTGACCTGAGAAGGGGATTGTTTTGTATGAATCAGCACCCTAAGGACTGCGCATAAGAGATTACTGTACCTCATCAAACTTTCATCACCAAGCCTATTGTAACATAATGAGCGCAATGACAAAAGACTCAAGTGTGCGCAGATCATCATTATTTCGTTTATCTTCAAAGGGAAATCCGAGTCACAAGTCATCACATCTGATGCTTGTGAGAATGTTCGTATTAGTCATCCTCTTGTCTACTCGTTTTTTTTTTTTTACATATATAGGCTTTACATAAAATGACGTGTCTTTAAAGATCAAACACGTATTCACACTGATTTTCACTTTTCATTGCAAATACACGCTGGCGTTCTTACGCAATACTGCGCAAATAACCGAGGCCTACGATGACCACTTAATTGCATTTTTCATGGGAAGTGAAACTAGGGATTTGGCACGAGTAAACCGCAAGCACCTTCCCCCCCCCACCGCCAAGTCTCAAGCGCCTCCCTGTGGCCAAAACAAAAAAAAACGGACTCCGTCTGGCCCGGTTACTTTTAAGTATTTACTTCGAAAAGAAAAATAGATTAAATATTGGTTTATTTACATCTTATTTACAGATAAATGTGCAGTAATAACAAAACAACATAAATATCTTGTCAAGTTCTTTCCCAAATTGACATATACATAGCACGTACATTTTGCACACAGGAGTTGCTTTCAAATCAGGCGTTGAATCCATGCAAAACATAAACAACATAAGAGAAATCAACACAGAATGTTGGGGACAGTGAACAAAAAGAAAACCAGACAGTTGTCTTTGTTTACATTCTTTTCATTTGTGTGAACCTGTGGGCAGCAGACAAAAAAGTAAAAATTGAGTCACAAGGTCTCATGTCAACTATTCCGACAAAAATATTTCTGGTGTAACTGCTCTTTCCGTGTTCCTGATCCCACTGAGTCGCACTGTTGTGTGCATTTTGAAGCACAACTTTTTTTTTTCTTCAAAGCTTATTGTATATCACAAATTGCACAAAGAGGCGGCACTATTATGTCACACAGATATCTCACGCCATACACACTGGATAACTCACATATGGGTGAAATCCCAGCCTGAAGATGGCTTGCAGAGTTACAACTTGCTCTCTTGGCATTTCAGTTTAAGGAGCGAATCAAATGTTCAGCATCTTATAATGTGACTATTCTTGAACCTTTAATATTAAAAGTTGCTGGAATGGACACATCAAACTTTCCTTATCATACCTTTAACACAGAGGCAGGGATTTGTCCAAAATACAGCAGACATTTTGAAGTATTGTACATCTAATAACCACACACAGTGAAAGTCTTTGTTCAGCGTGGTTCAATTAGAAACAGGGACACAAAAGAAAAATTAAAGTGTGCAATCCATGGAACATGATACAAGTACTATATGTTCACAAAAAAAAAAAAAAAACAGGAGGTGCCAAACTGGAACACACAACCTTGTTATGTTTTCAATTTCTCAACAGCAGATGAAAAGCGCTCCTTGCAATGTTAAAGAACATCCAACCTCCTCAGTTGACTCGGCATGCTCGTATCATCAGCAGCTGCAAAAGAATGAACAGTGGCGAGACGATGAGGCCGAACCAAAGGTCTCTGGCTTGCTCCTGCTCCGCCAGCTTCTGGCACAGCAGCACCTCACACACCAGCTTCAGGCTAAGTACCGTCAGCACCCAGAGCAGCCGCAGCACCGCCAGGCGCTTCTCGTTTTCCTGGTAAAGCCGGATAGATACTATGGCCGTGAAGTAGGTGCTGAGACCGTCGGCGGCGAACAGGGGGACGAACCCCAGCCACCAGAAGTTCACGCAAAGAGAACAACATGGTGGGGGAATCTGAATGTTCAGTCAGAGATGAACTGTTGGACAACAGCTGGAGCACTGAGTGGATGTCACCCACGAGGAGTTAAGACTCGTCAAATGTGTCTGGTCAAAGGAGTTGATGAATCTCATAAAAGAGACACTTCGCTTTTGACTACATCTTTGAATCCAACCTGATGCGACAAGTGTTCCCAGTCTCTGAATGTCAGGAAACACTCCTAGAAAACAATGACAATTAATGTCAACATACATTGAAAAGTGAGGACATGGCCTTTAAACAGTTTCACCAACTAAAGCAACATCGACTGAAGTCCAACACCTTCTTATTTTATGAAGATATCATTTTTCAAGTTAGCAAAATCATCTTATGTTAAACAAAGCGAACACTGGTCAATTCTATACAGATTGAGACACAGAGAAACATTAGCATCGACACCTATAGCTTAACATTGAAGTCAGCCCAAATAGTAACACTAGTGCTAGCTAACCACACGTAGCCAGAGATGATACAGTCAATCACGTCTTACATGAAGCTCATGAATTGACATGTATGGAAATCTAGTTATGTGACTGCACATCACTGTACCTTAATCGCAGTCGAGTACTTTGCCTTCCATTTAGCGCAACAGGAAAAGCGACAATCCACAAGGCTAACAAGCTATTAGCATCATCCTCACCGTTGCGGTAACATCGCGAGAATGGCATTTAATAGTATGGTGGCCGAACAGATTACGTCACTCGTGGTGTTCTATCACGCCCAAATTTGAAATTTGTTATCTCAATTAAGAAATAATAACGATATGATACGTGTCACGATGTAATTATCCAGGTACATATACATAAACATAGCACATTGTTGTTTTTTTTTTTGTTTTTTAGCTATCACCGAGTCGCTAGATGGCGGCAGTGATAACAAGCGAAGTGTGGGCAGTTGAAGTCGAATGTAAAGAAGAAACTTAACCGGTCAGTCTGCTGAAGGAGTTGTTACGCGCTACTGAGCTGTCTTATTTCCTCAGGTGAGTGCAGTTTTAATTGATTATATGCTGAACGCTTTTAGTTTTATTAGTTTGTTGACGTCTTCTTCTTTATTTTGCACATGTTCAAACGTATTTTTTTTCTGGCCAAGGTGACTACTTTTTTTTATTTTCCTGCTGTTCCTTGAACGCAGCCGATACGACGTAAGACAATGTCAAAAATGTATCCAAATGCTTGTCATAACATCGATCATTTGGAGTGTTGTACTTAGTGATGGACTCGGTGTCAATAGAAATATAAAAATATATTTTTTTAAAAGTTCATTTAGAAAGCCCGACCGAAATTAAATTGTTCGTGTTGCATGCATGCATGCATGCACATCAAGCTCACTTGTGTGCAGTTACTGTGCAGCTAATATCCATGTTGGCAAAATGTATGTAATCCGCTGATTGCTTAAATAAATGTCAGTGCTAGATTAAATAGGTGCCCTCACATTACAAAAATATATAAAAGTAACTCAGCAACGTGAAAGCGAAGGTCCATTGTCTCTAAAGTCCAAATGAAATAAATATATTATGCAACTTGAGCTATGTGTGAATGTCTTGGTGTTTCTCGTTGTTCCGTCACTTTGCTTGTATTTAGTTCCCTGCTTTTTGGGGTCCTCCAAATTTCACCCATGCAAAACCTGACAAAAAATGTTTCCTTTCAGTTTTGTAAAATTGAAATGAACAGGGATAAAGCGGTGGTGAAAATGACATGACAAATGAACCAACTGTACAATAGGCATGAGTAGGTTTCGGCGTAAAACCAGATGAGAGCAAGTATAGCTGCTAATACCACTCTTTCCATCTAATCCCCTTGTAGCGGAGTCATCCCAATCTTTTTTTTTTCTTTTAACGACTCAAGCCAGACGGCAGGCCTGTATGAGATCCTTATATTATGAGCATGCCATTGTCACAATGTTCTTACCTAAACCGGGAAATCAGCTATCCACTTAGAAGCACTCCGCCCCTTCAAGCGCACACAGGCACGTGTTGCTGCACGCGCACGCTTTCTTTGCATGCTTCTTTTCAGTTTGTCTTAGCCCAGAGATAAATCCAAATATAGGAGAGGGGATTGAGTGAGTCATCAGGAGCAACTACTTTAAATTGTTCGTGTTGCATGCATGCATGCATGCATGCATGCGTGCACATCAAGCTCACTTGTGTGCAGTTACTGTGCAGCTAATATCCATGTTGGCAAAATGTAGTCCGCTGATTGCTTAAATAAATGTCAGTGCTAGAATAAATAGGTGCCCTCACATTACAAAAATATATAAAAGTAACTCAGCAACGTGAAAGCGAAGGTCCATTGTCTCTAAAGTCCAAATGAAATAAATATATTATGCAACTTGAGCTATGTGTGAACAGTTGTTTGGCGAAGAGCATCACGCATGCTTGGTCAGTTTTAACGCTGACTGAACCGTAATGAAGGACAATGGCCTGCATGAAGTGACTACTCGTGGAGACATTCACGGTGTCTCGTGCACGCTTTCTCAATTTCAATAAATTTGCCTTTCTCAGGGTAAAGATGCAGACGCCAGTACAGTCCATTATTCACAGTGGCTACTTTCACCCAACACTCAGATACTGGCAGACCTGTGCCACAGATATAAAAACAGAGAACCTCATTTACCCAATTTTCATCACGTAAGTGGCAGAAATTTTCCCTCAACTAATTTCTGGCAAATTTGTGTGTGACTTGAATTTTGAATTTGCTACAACTACATGAATGCATGAAAAATATTTCTCCTGGTCTTACTCCATCTTTCTTGCTACTCCTATAGAGACAATGTTGATGCTGTGGAGCCTATTAAGAGCCTACCTGGACAAGCCAGGTAATGGGGGTGGAGTTGGGGGGGGTATTATAACAATCCGGGTAGTAATTGTTTCCTGACTAAAGTGCACTTCCCATCAATGCTCACAGGGGCAACATTTGTGCAAAGCGCCAACTGATGTGAAGGGTGTTGTCCTGAGATAAAAAAAAAGTCAGGGTGGATCGAGCACCAAATACTGTTTCAGGACACAGATAAGCTGAGCATGCGTTACACTCAAATTTGTGACATTGCCAGTGTGAAACTTTGTGGTAAACTCCATAACAATATATCATTTCTAATTGTTTTGGGTTTTTTTTTTCTTACTCTTGAAGCCCAGCCTTAAGTCAATGTCAGTTGCAACATATCGTTTAACTGACCCATTTGGTTTGTTTGGTTTTCTACTATTTTTATGTCCAAATGCACACACTGAACTGGTTGCCAGCCAATCGCAGGGCACACCTAGATGAATAACCATTCGCGATCACAATCGCATCAGTCTGATAATGCCCTTTTTCTTTGTTCGTGAAATCAGTATTAGAAGGGGTGTAATCAATTATGCTGCATCATTTGTAAAGTATATATTTGAAATGTATTCCCTTTCATAGATGTGGGGTGAACAAACTGGAAGGAATGTTGCAGCCACTTGTCGAGAATGGTTTGAAATGTGTGCTGATCTTTGGGGTGCCCGCGAATATAGCAAAGGTATGTGCGGTGAATCTAAAAAGAGGGCAAGGACAACTGAAAGTGTCACTGTGCTTGGAAGGAATTGGCACTAACGTGAATTGGATAATTTTTGTGAAGCTGTTGATTCATCTGGCCATTAACTGCAATGATGAGAACTTTTGCAAGAGTTTAATATTCGTGAGGGGGGTTCATCTACAGTGTAACACGTAAAATGAATGGATAATATATGGTGGAAGTCGCAGTATAAAACGGACCTCCTGCAGATGAAGATAAGTCAGACCGTATGCAGACATGCTGATCTTTTGTGCCTTAGGACGACCGAGGGTCAGGGGCCGACACAGACGACACGCCCGCCGTGATGGCCGTGAAGAAGATCAGATCCTTATTCCCTGACCTGCTGGTGGCATGCGACGTCTGCTTGTGTCCCTACACATCGCATGGCCATTGTGGTCAGTGTCTCTTTTTGATGATAGACCTTCCTCAGCCTTATGCGGTACATATAATCCATGGAGAGAATTGCTGCTATCCATTTAGTAACGAAAGAAATACACACAGTGGTCTCTAGATGAGTCCGGAATTTGCCAAAGTGCATACTGACAAGACGCAGCGTTACTGGGAGAATGCCCTTTGGAAGCTGGAGCTTTTTTTGATGAGTTACATCACTTCTGTGAAATATCAGGAAGGCCACGTTTCGCAATTCTGGTGATTTGGTTCAGCGGTCCCTAACCTTTTTTTGTGTCACGGACCGGTTGAGACAAGTCCATGCTGCTTTCAACCGGTGGCTGCCGGCTTGTTCTTAGCGACTCAATGCGGTACCCAGTAAGATGTACTGACAATCTCCACGTATTTAAATTTGCCTTCCAGGTATCCTGAATGAAGATGGTTCGCTGAACATCGATGCTAGCTGTTTGAGACTGGCAGAAGTAGCACTAGCCTATGCCAAAGCTGGTAAACGCTGCCGCCCCCACCCCCAAGCTTTGAAAGTTTCTGTTATCATATGCTTGAGGTGCACACACACACAAAAAAAAACAAAAACACTTCTAAATGTCTCTCTAATGCCATTTTGGGATATTTGTTGAAAGATAAATATTAAGTGTATATCATAAGTCCTCTGACTTGATTGAAAATTAACAGTTATGAGAGCATTGATAATTCAGATTTTCAGGAAAATGCACACAGATTGGGCAGCATTGTGAGAAATACAATGTCAGATTTTTTTTTTTTGTTTCAGTTTGAAATTGATATTAAAGTCGGATTTGTTTTTTTTCGTTTCAGTTTGAAATTGATATTAAAGTCGGTTATTCGCGTTTTCCTGCAGGTTGTCACATAATTGCTCCTTCTGATATGATGGATGGCAGAGTTGGGGCCATAAAACAAGCGCTGCTTTCCAATGGGTTGGGAAACAAGGTAAATCGGCCGAATAAAGAACTATTACAAACGAATAACTTGAGTCAATCTAAAAAGGCAGCGGCACAGCATCGTTGATTTCGAAAGGCTCCCCCCCCCCCCACCACGTCCCGGGGTTTTCCCC